ATATATATATATATATATACACACCTTGCTGGGTTTTTTTGTGTGTTCCTCTAGAGAACCCAATCTAACACACTCAGCATAATGGATTCTAGGACTAATATTTTCAAAGTAATGAGGGTGAGCCTTCCACACTTCCACATCTTGTCCTCATGTTCATTAACATGCATTATGAGATGATTAAAGGATCAGTTTGTAGCTAGCTTTGACTTCTGTTTATTACTAGGATGAAGGGTCAGAAATTACAAAGTAGTGTAGATGGTAAAAACAATTTTGTGTCAGACAGATATGAGTTTGAGTCCTAGCATCATGCCTTAATACGTTTGTAACTTTGGGCAAGTAATTTAGTATCTCTAAGCTTCAGTTTCCTTATCTAGCATGGGGAAATATTAATACTAGGTTTATAGAGTTGTAGAACATGAGATTGATAATCCACACTCTGGTAGCATAGTGGCTAAGACACTTGCCTGCTAATCAGACAGCTGGCGGTTCAAACCCACCAGCCACTCCTCGGAAGGAAGGTTGGGCAATCCTACTTCGTAGTGATACTGCCTCGGAAACCCAAGGAGGGGTCGCTATGAGTCGGGGCCGACTCGATGGCAAACAACAACAACAACAACAACAGTACCGGGAATGTAGTTTTAAATAAATGTTCCTGTTGCTTATCATTATCATCATTGATTATGGTGATGGTAGGGGCCATCATCACAGTGGATCGACAAAAACCTCCCAACTGGTATCCCTGCTCTAGTTTTTCATCTCTTAGTCTGTTATGTAGAAAGCCACCAGATAACTCTTACCAGCTACACCCTGCTCAAAAATTCCAGTGACTCTGAATAAAGTTGGATCTCCTTAACCTGGTTCTCAAGGCTTCCATGATCCAGCCTCGATCTACATTTCTGGCCTCATCTTACTCTTCTTTGGAAAACTACATTTTCTAGTCTCTAATAAAATCCAACAACTCACGATTTCCATGTTGTATTTTATATGTAACAAAGATACATCTTCTTTGTCTTTGATATTTAGTGAGTTTTTATCATAAAAGTTGACATAATGAAATTATTTTTAAAATTAGGAAAAAGGAAAACATGTCTGTGTTCCTACCACCCTAACAAAATCACAATTACTATTTTTATATATTTATTTCTAGTATGTCTTCTTAAAAATCTTTTCTTTCATAGTGTATATAGAGTGTATATGCAATGTTGTGTCTGCTTTTTATCACTTAGCATCATATCATATGAATGCTGTGTTCATGTTTTTTACTATTATTTTTATTTTTATTCTTCCTTCACACATCATATTGCCTCTTATTGGGCTTGTATTATTCCCATCTGTGACTCCCAAAATGCTTCCCATCTTCTAAGGCTAAGCCCATATGCCTCTTCCTCCATGTGGTCAGAAGTTATCCTGTGAACTGGTTTTGTACTTTATATCTTTCATAAGATACCTAGGATATGCTGCTTTATAATGAGATCACCTACATGTGGCTTTATCTCCCTCACTAGTTAGCAAGCCCCCCTGTAACCAGTCTCTCTCTCTGTGTTGTCTCCAATGCCTTGTAACCCAAAAAGTGTTCATGATTGCTAAATGATTGTTTGGGAATATTCCCTGCCTCTGGTATTTGCATGATGAAGGTTAACTATGCCCTCTGCATTCTTTGTGATGTCAAGCTGAGGTACGACTTCAGATCAAACAGAGCCTATTTCTTCCTCACATGGAAGACTTTCTGGAAACAGGATTTCAAGAGCTATCTATAAGAAAGCACTGGTTAATAAAAGCTGTCATTTATTTGTAGTACTTATTCTGTACCAAGCACCGTGCTAAGTACAAACCTACATAATTTTAGTTAGTCCTCGCAATAATCTTGTGAGGTTGTTATTGCCATTTTTTCTAGTGTTATTTAGAGAGTTTTGGTAATTTGCCTATGGTAGCATGGACAGTAATTGACTAGAGCTGGGATTCACACTCAAGACCATCTGACCTCAGATGCTGGACTGTGTGTGTGTGCTGTCTTGGTCTCTGAGGAGGTCTATAATTGGCTAAGGAGGTATGAGTTTGGGGAGGGAAGAGAGAAGATATGGAGGGAAAAACAGATTATTATGCACAGGGTACATCTTGGGCAGAATTATTAACAAGGTCTTAGAATCAGTTTCTCTGACAGGAATTTGTTATTAGGAGTCCCAGTTTAATCATATAGAAGAGTGGTTGGTATTAAATCTTTTTTTGTAATCACATACTTGTAATAGAAGCATTATGTTGGATATTTCCTCCCCATTATCAAATAGTAATGAGAAATAAAAGCTGTCGCCATTTCTTGGCACAGGTTGAAAAGATTACCCACATGTCACAGACACTCTGTTTTTTGTTTTTTTTTTTCGTACAGATTTGGCAGCAGTATTTTGCAGCAAAAGATACAGTCTACGCAGTTATTCCTGTAAGTAGTTTGGAGGGGAAAATGAACGGGTTATAATAGGAAGATCAATGCTGTAACCTTAGCATGCAGTTGCCTTTACTTTTCCTGTGTTTATTGCCTCTTGAGAACTTGTATATTACAGCTCTGAGAGTTTTTATTATGCCCTGAGCACCAAAGATTGGAAGCTTCATATGGTATATTTATGGCTCATGTTTTCCCTCTTTCTGGTCTAGAAATGTCCCATTGAGTCAAGTCTCTGACAAGGGAGCATGGTGTAAGTTCATGTTATCAAACAATTATCAAATGTCCTTTTTTCTTTTTGGTGTTTTCCAAAAGATAGGACTTCTAACACAGCTTTCTTTCCTTCTAGTTTATTAGTGACCTGTACCTAAGCTGACTTGGAGCCTCCTCCTGGTCTTTTTCTGGCATTTCCCTGGACAAATAACATTTTCTTGATTTTTCCCTTCCTGAAATTACTATCTTAGAGATAGTCACTGGCCACTGCTTGACCGTTGAGGTCTGTGACTGGGAAGGGGTACTGCTGGCTTTTTCTAGTTTGATGTCCTTCTATTGACCTCCACCATAAGAAAGCATTTGAAGTACTAAGTTATAGGTCACTCTTCCCTGAAAAAGTAGCTTAAGTTATGTTTATAGCAAGTGCACAAATATATACTGGGCTTACAAGTGTTTAAGTATATGATTAAGGAAGAAACTACACATGGAAGAGTAAAGCTGGGCCCTTTGGTTCTTATGAAAGTATTGTATCTCTTTTTTTCCTGCTTACACATACATACACCTTTGGCCCTTCATGAGTTCAACAGCCAAAAAGGTTGCTCTTTATATGACGTTTTAGATCTCTGATACTGAACAGACCTCAGGGCTGGCTCACTGACCTGATGTCACTGACACTTGTCAGAATTCCCAGCAGAGTTTAGAGCATATGGTGCATCTACTCTTCACACATAATTCTGACATTGAACAGCAAAGCATATGTCTGGCTTTTCATCTTTTTCTCTCCTAAGAGTGATTCATAAATGATGGAATTTAAGAGATTGTTTTAGGTCTAGAGTTCAATCTTGATGAATTCAAATGGGATTGTGACTTTTTATGTTTGTTTGTTTATGAGTTAATTTTATTCTTTTCCAACCTAAAGGAAGACAAGTTTGATTTGATCTGGAACCGGGCTCAGTCCTGTCCAACAGTAAGTGTCCAGTAACCATATGAGGATTGTTTATCAATGCTGCCAAACAAAGGTATTTTCTAGCCAACCCCATTATTCTCCATGCTGTCTTACATATTACAGTGCTCTGTTTATTTGATAAAAGAGCTCACATGTTGGTTATACTGATCAGTGAGATTTTCAGCCTTATGAAATCATGGGTTTGGCCCAGTACGTCTCTAGCTTTTTAACTCTCTGCTACATCTCAGGCCTTTCTGATTTGGATCTTATCTATTAGTGTAAGTGCATATTGGAAGGCACCTGAGGCCTTAATCTTTCTTTCCTCTTTAAAATTCCTGTTTTATTGGCAGTTTTATTTGCCATTTTGGCCATGCTATCCTCGTAATGGGTGCCTAAAAGCAATTATGATGTTGTTGCTAGGGTAATAAGCTACCAGGAGGCCTAAAGGAAAGGGAGTAGGTGAACCAGCTGACACAGTGGCAGTGTGATTCTAGTGTTCTCAAAACATTTTCCAAATATGGCTGAGAGAAAATAAAACTTAAATAAGTGGAGAGATGTACCATGTTCATGATTTGGAAGAGTTATTATTATTAAAATATTAGTAGTCTTCCCCAAGTTCATCTCTAGATTAAATACAATCCAAATAAAAACTCCAGTAGGGCTTGTTTGTTTGTTTTTAAGAAATTGACAGATTTATTTGTAAATACAAAAGTCCTAAAATAGTCAAAACAGTTTTGAAAAAGAACAAACCTAAAGGACTTACTACATGTATAAGTTTGATTTCAAGACTTATTATAAAGCCACAGTTAAAAAGATGGAGTAATATTGGCATAAAGATAGAGATAAAGATCAACAGAACAGAATAGAGAGTTCAGATATAGATCAACATAATGTGGTAGATACTTTTTGATAAAGGTGCCAAAGTAATTAAATGGGAAAAGGATAGTCTTTTCAACCATGATACTAAAACAATTGAATATCCATATGCAAAATAATGAACCTCTACTCTTACCTCAGAGTCTCTGGATGGTGAAAATAGTTAATGCCCTCTGCTCCTAATAAAAGATTGGCATTCTAAGGCCACCCAGAGGTACCTCAGAAGAAATGCCTGATCTATTTGCAGAAAACAATCAGCCACTGAAAACTCTATGGAGCACATTTCTACTTTGGCACAGATGGGGTTGCCATGAGTCAAAATCAACTCAACAGCCACTGGTTGGTATTTTAATCTCTCCCTACACTATGTCCACCACTTGTCTGCCAGTTTATCCTCCTGTGGTGGCTTGTGTATTGCTGTGGGGCTGGATGCTATGGTATTTCAATACCAGCTGGGTCACCCATAGTGGACAGGTTTCAGGGGAGCTTCCAGACGAAGACATACTGGAAAGAAGGACGGGACCATCCACTTCTGAAAAAATTGGCAACTGACAACCTCGTAAATAGCAGTGAAACACAACCTGATATATTACTGGAAAATTTATGAATAGCCCTGAAACATTTTCTGATATAGGGCAAGAAGATGAACCCCTCAGGTCAGAAGGCACTCAAAATATAACTGGGGAAGAGCTGCCTTCTCAAAGTAGAGTCAATCTTGATGTTGGTGGAGTAAAGCTTTTGGGACCTTTATTTATTGATGTGGTACAACTCGAAATGGGAGGAAACAGCTACAAACATCCATTAATAATCAGAATGTGGAATGTACAAAGTATGAATCTAGGAAAGTAGGAAGCTGTCAAAAATGAAATGGAATGCATAAAGATTGATATCCTAGGCATTATTTAGCTAAAATGGACTGGTATTGGCCATTTTGAATCAGACAATCATATGGTCTACTATGCCAGGAATGGCATCACATTTATTATCAAAAAGAATGTTTCAAGATCTGTCCTGAAGTACAGTAGTGCTGTTAGTGATAGGATATTGTCCATATGCCTGCAAGGAAGACCAGTTAATACAACTGTTATTCAAATTTATGTACCAACCACTAAGGCCAAAGATGAAGAAATTGAAGATTTTTACCAACTTCTGTAGTCTAAAATTGACCAAACATGCAATCAAGATATGTTGATTATTTCTGCTGATTGGAATACGAAAGTTGGAAACCAAGAAGAAGCATCAGTAGTTAAAAAATGTGGCCTTGGTAATGGAAATCATGTCAGAGATTGCATGATAGAATTTTGTAAAACCAACTTATTTGTTGCAAATACCTTTTCTCATCAACATAAATGGCAGCTGTACATGTGGACCTTGCCAGATGGAATACACAGGAATCAGATCAACTATATCTGTGGGAAAAGATGATGGAGAAACTGAGTATCCACAATCAAAACAAGGCCAAGAGTTTACAATTGCTCCTGTGCAAGTTGAAGTTGAAGCTGAAGACAATTAAAACAAGTCCACAAGAGTCAAAATAGGAAATTGATTACTTCCCACCTGAATTTAGAGACCACCTGAAGAATAAATTTGATACATGGAACACTAGTTATCGAACACCAGATAAATTGTGGGATAACATCAAGAACATTGTATATGAAAAAAACAGGAAAGGAAGAAAAGACCAAAATGAATATCAGAAAAGGCTCTAAAACTTGCTCTTGAACAGGGAGCATCTAATACTAATGGAAGAAATGGCAAAATAAAAGAGCTGAAAGATTTCAAAGGGCAACTCCAGAAGACAAAGTAAAGTATTATAATGAAATGTGAAAAGACCTGGAGTCAGAAAACCAAAAGGGAAGAACATGCTCAACATTTGTCAAGCAGAAAGAACTGAAGAAAAAAATTCAATTCTCGATTTGCAGTATTGGAAGAATTCTACGGCCAAAATCCACTACTAATTTGTCAGTTTGTCGTCCTGTGGTGTTTTGCGTGTTGTTGTGAGGCTAGAAGCTATGCCACTGGTATTTCAAATACCAGCAGGGTCACCTGTGGTAGAGAGGTTTCAGTGGAGCTTCTAGACTAAAACAGACTCGGAAGAAGGAAAGGGCAGTCCACTTCTCAAAGAATTGGCCAGTGAAAACCTTAGGAACAGCAGTGAAACACTGTGTGATATATTGCTGGAAAACTTTGTGAATAGCCCTGAAACATGGTCTGATATAGTGCTGGAAGATGAGCCCCTCAGGTCAGAAGGCACTCAAAATATGACTGGGGAAAAGTGCCTCCTCAAAGTAGAGTCAACCTTATTGACCTGGATGGAGTAAAGCTTTCAGGACCTCCATTTGCTGATGGGGCATGGCTCAAAATGAGAAGAAACAGATGCAAACATCCATTAATGATCAGAAATGGAATGTAAAAAGTATGAATGTAGGAAAATTGGAAATTGTCAAAAATGAAATGGAATGCATAAAGATCAATATCCTAGGCATTAGTGAGCTAAAATGGACTTTTGACCATTTTGAATCAGACAATCATATGATCTACTGTGCCAGGAATGACAAATTGAAGCAGAGTTGTGTCACATTCATCGTCACAAAGAATGTTTCAAGATCCATCCTGAAGTACAGTGCTGTCAGTGATAGGATAATATCCATATGCTTACAAGGAAGACCAGTTAATATAACTTACTCAAATTTACACACCAACCACTAAAGCCAAAGATGAGGAAATTGAAGATTTTTACCAACTTCTGTAGTCTGAAATTGACCAAACATGTAATCAAGATATACTGATTATTACTGATGATCACCATGTGAAAGTTGGAAATAAAGAATCACCAGTAGTTGGAAAATATGGCCTTGGTGATAGAAATTATGTCGGAGATTGCATGATAGAATTTTTGCAAGACCAAAGACTTACTCATTGCAAATACCTTTTCTCAATAACATAAATGGTGGCTATACATGTGGGTCTTGCCAGATGGAATACACACGAATCAGATCAACTACATCTGCTAAAAAAAGGTGTTTGTTGTTGTTGTTGTTATGTGCCGTCGAGTCGGCCCCAACTCATAGCGACCCCTCCTTGGGTTTCCGAGGCAGTATCACTACAGAAGTAGGATTGCCCAACCTTCCTTCCGAGGAGTGGCTGGTGGGTTTGAACCGCCAGCCGTCTGGTTAGCAGGCAAGTGTCTTAGCCACTATGCTACCAGAGCTCCTAAAAAAAGGTGATAGAGAAGCTCAATATCTTCAGCCAGAACAAGGCTAGGAGCATCTGTGGAGCAGACCATCAGTTGCTCATATGCAAGTTTAAGGTGAAGGTGAAGACAATTAAAACAAGTCTGTAAGAGCCAAAATATGTCCTTGATTATATCCCACCTGAATTTAGAGACCACCTGAAGAATAGATTTGATGCACTGAATGTGACTGAAAACTAAGCGAGTTGTGGAATGACATCAAGAACATCATACGTGAAGAAAGCAGAAGGTCTTTAAAAAGACAGGAAAGGAAGAAAGAACCAAAATGATGTCAGAAGAAACTCTGAAACTTTCTCTTGAGTGAAGATTAATGACAAAATCAAAGAGCTGAACAGAAGGATTCAAAATGGAATCTCGTCAGCAATCACCATGCTTTTTCCCTCTATCATCTTAGTGCTTGAAAAACTAGGTACAGCAGTTTGAATTAGGGATTTTGGTGCTCTGAACAGCTCGCTGAGTCAGAGTATACCAAACTCAAAGGAGTAGAATTAGAAGAAAGGTACAGGGGGGAAAACAAAAGATCTATCCTGTGGAGTGTGGACAGGCAGCTGAGAAAGACCAGTAGAGACTTCCCTGAGGGAGCAACCGGCAGGCGAGAACAGCCATCTGAGACCTCCCTGGGTCAAGGCAGAAGACACATCATACCAGCATACCAGCGACCACACCAACATACCAGCGATCACCCCAAGGATCTACATTCAGGACCTGATTTTATCAGTAACTTGGGTTGGCTAGGTGCAAACAGGCACGTCCATCACCACTGAAACCCAAACAGAGAGTTCATTGGTGCTCCAGGAAGGTGGTCTTGCTCCCCCCTCAGTGGGTCACTGAATAGGCTTGGGTCAGCTTAGTGGCACTGAGAGGTCTGTGCTTGACTTTATCACTGATATTG